CATTCGACTCCCCCCTCCACCCGCCCCGCCTCCGCCCTCGCCGCTCCGATTCCATCACCCCCTTCGACCGCGCCCGGAATCTGCGCTCCGAGGTGATCCCCCCGAGGCATGGAGATCTCCTTCGAGGCGTGGGAGGGGGTGCAGCGGCACGGCCAGGACATCGCCGACCGCCTCGCGCAGGGCTTCACGGGCCTGCTGCAGGCGCCGCCGCAGTTCCCGTGGCCGCCCGTCTCGCACAAGCTCATGCCCTTCGAGATCGACCTCCCCGTCGTGCCCTTCGGCGCCGCGCGGGGGGCCGCCGCCGCCGGCGGGAAGGACTTCTTCCCCACCGCCGCCGTCGCCTCCGTCATCGACATCGGCGGCAGGCTCGGCCAGGCCGGCGTCGAGATCGGCACGTCCGTCGGCGGGGCCGTGCAGCACGCCGTGCGCCAGCTGCCCGTGCCCTTCCGGGGCGCCCAGATCCGCCGCCGCAAGCTGCACCCGCCCCCTTCTGCGGACGGGGCCGTCGGCCTCCTCTCCTCGGAGAGGGCCGTCGATAGATGCCCTCTCGAGGCGGCCGCCGCCGCTGCGGCCGCGGCCACTGGAAGCGCTGCCGCGTCGACTGTCAGTGGTGTTAGAAGCGGGGACGACCTCGATGAAGATGATGACGGATATGGCTGCGAAATCGGAACCCTCGGAAACTTTAAGAAGTCCAAGGTACGATTCAACTGCTTCCTACTCCTAGTTCTATTGTGGGTTTCAGTATGTTTGCATCTCACAGCCTTAATACAGGCTTTACTCCCATTGAAAGTACTAAAATCTTAGAATCATCACAATCTTATTATCCCTGAAGTGTCTAGAATATGTAAGCTAAACCTTAGAATTTTGATGGACTTGAATTGTTGGTATTATGTGAATCTTATTATTATCCCTCTGCTTGTTTAGAGCCAAGCCGTCTTTGCAGGCATGCCATGACATAATACTTTGCTCTTCTCTTGATGAACGTTCAGGGTACCGTAAATATGTCAGCGACATACAACACCAGGAACAATGATATTGAGAGTTCTGTTGTTGCACGTGGAGACCTGTGGAGGCTAGAGGCATCACGCAGCGGTTCAACTTCTGGAAACGATACTTCGCCCCTTTACCTTGTTCAGTTGGGGCCTTTGCTATTTGTTCGTGACTCAACACTCCTATTGCCTGTTCATCTGTCAAAGCAACATCTGCTGTGGTATGGCTATGATCGCAAGGTACATATCCTTTATGTCGCCTTCTCCCAATATGTTAAACCCATTCATTCATTATTTGGTACATGCTTTTGTTTTATGGAAATTCATGTTCTCTTCGTTTTCTTATATGCTACGCCGTATTATATATCCTGGATCTTTTACTGAAAAGTGGTTGTTTCATATGCAGAATGGAGTGCATTCCCTCTGCCCAGCTATTTGGTCGAAACAGAGAAGATGGCTGATGATGTCGATGATGTGTCTTAACCCAGTAGCTTGCGTAAGTATGAGCATGTTTTTTTATTAAAGTTTCTGTGTACTACAGTTATTCTCATGTGCTGTGATGTGTTGAGTTGGAAATCGGCACTGTTTGGGGCTTTGGGCTTTCCGATGTGCTTTCTTTGCATTATAGTAGCGGGATGAATCATATATGCTGCCATAGTTCTTTGGTTAGTGGATATTGCACATCTTGTTATTTGCTAGAAAAGCCTGTCCAGTTGATTTCTTTGGATCTTTATTCCGTCTGATAACCAGTGAGTAATAGTTCTGTTCTGCACAACTAGTGTGCCAGCATTTTTCACTGGCCAGTAGAATTGGTGAGGAGTCTTGCATTCTACTCCCTCCGTTCGGAATTACTTGTCTCGGATATGGATGTATCTAGAACTAAATACGTCTAGATACATCCATTTCTGCGACAAGTAATTCCGAACGGAGGGAGTATAAAATATCTACGCCATTCACAGTGCTAACCATGCTTTTAAAATTATTAACAGGCTAACTTAGTTGGGATATTTATTGTTATAAGTTGGTTTTTATCTAATAGAATGACATCTTTTTGTTACAGTCCTTCATGGATCTACAGTTCCCTAATGGGCAAGTAACGTACGTTGCTGGAGAAGGGATAACAGCGAGTGGTTTTGTTCCGTTGTTTGGTGGGTTGCTTCAAGCTCACGGGAAATTCCCAGGAGAAACAAGAATGAGCTTCTCTTGCAAGGTTAGTGTTTCCTTAGTTCCCGTAAGGTCATTTGTATCATCAAAATGTACTGTTTTCTGTAAGTCAATGCCAATGGGTTGTGAGCTTCTCCTTGAAGATTGCATTTCTGCTGCCATTTCTGAAAATAAAATTCTGCTAGTCGTATGTAGAGGAAAGTTATAAGTTCTAAGCATTTGACCAGTGTCTGATTGGAATTCTGCTCTAATAATTAATTGATAATACAGTGATTTGTTTGCAAAAACACTATCCATGTCAGATGTGGTCTGGTGACATTTTATCATACAGGGAGCTGCACATAAATTTGCACATTGCCGTATTCGTCCTATCTTTCATTTCTTGTGACACAAGAACAAATATTTATGATCTATTCTGTTACAGTGATCTTTTCATGTTCTTAAGAACCAAAGTGACTTCTCTCTTAATTCTCTTGCACTGCATTGTTTCAATATTAGTTAGCACAAGTTTTACCTTTGTTAACCTTCAACCTTACTCTTATTTTTTTCTTCCTTATTCAAGAACAAGCGAGGCACAAGGTTCACTCCTATGTTTCAATGGCCTGACAAATCTCTTTCACTTGGAGTTACTCAAGCCTTGGCATATAAGAGATCTGGTCTTATGGTGAGGCCCAGCATACAAGTCAGGTAATTCACTGAAAGCATTTGGATAATTGTGGGGCCTTCTGTTGTTACATCTTGCCCTATATTATATGGTCAAATGAGTTAGAATGTGAATGACAATTGTTTTGCGATGTTTGCTACTATCTTAGATGTGTTGATATGATGCTAAAAGCACGCTTCATTGCAGCTTTTTTCTTTGATGCAGCATATTATATTGTTATTTTTCTCACTACATAGAATAATTATGTGCTGCTTCTTTTTTGTATGCATTAATCTTGTGGAACATGAGAAATTCTTTCGATGCTGGATGGTATCGGCTTAAAGGGATTTTGTTAAATGTTTGCTTTTGCATGGCTGGCTCATTTTAGTACTCCCTTCGTCCGGAATTACTTGTGGCATAAATGGATGTATCTAGAATTAAAATACATCTAAATACATTCATTTCTCTGACAAGTATTTCCGGACGGAGGGAGTACTAAAACTACGGGCCTCTGGGTGGACAGTGCTGTTTTTCTTAATGTTTACCCTTGAGTGACCAAGAGACTGCTAAGCAGATGCCATTGATCAACTTACATCCTCTTGTGTTATTAGACTAAAATTAAGTCCTCTGTGCTGGGGGGTTAGTTTAGTTTTGCCATCCTTGTATTTTTGTTTTTGTTTTAACACTCTTCATGGCATTCTACTCTACAGTGTATGCCCTACATTTGGAGGAAGTGATCCTGGGGTACGTGCAGAGGTCATCCATTCATTAAAGGAGGAACTAAATGTGATGTGTGGTTTATCCTGCTCAAGAAATCCATCAGCTTTTACTGCTCTTTCTGTAAGTTTTCCTCATTGAAACAAGGCATCTGCTCGATTCTTTTCTAATACCACAGTTTGGTTGTAGCTTCGATTATACATTCACTCTAACTGTACACCTATATATGGCAGATTGGGCGGTCAAAGTGGAACGGTCAAGTGGGCAGTTCTGGAGTAGTAGTCACGTTGGAAACACCTCTAAATAACATTGGAAGGCCATCTTTATCTGTGCAATTAAATGGCGGTTTCGAGATTTGAAGTCCTGCGCAGGAGTTGTACATACCCATTGTACATAACACCACCACTAATCTTGATGTTCCACCCCTGCTGGGATAGCGCATCGGCCCGTTACATGTATGCGGAAGTGAGATGCAGCTTGTTCTTGTGTCCATAGTGTCTTGACTTAGCAAATCAACCGGTCTATTACATATGTAAGGACCCGAAGAGACTGGTGAAGTAATCACGAGTTCAAGCACTTCCTAAGGGAAGTAGAGATAAAATAAGCTCAAGCCTAGTTTGCCGTTTGTAAGGTGGCAAAAGAAATGCTTGTGGACTGCATATGTGTCATGCAAAGAAGATTGGCAAATTGGATAGTTGTTGGTGCTGGATTGTCTGCCAATTTTGTGACTTACGCTGGATTTTTGTCTCCACCGCTGTTGATTGGTGCTTATTTTGTGACAAAGGTGAACTTGGGTGGATGAATTGGCGTGCTTGTTTTTCTCCCTGCACTCTTGTATTCCTCTACATGTAACCCTAACTAAAGAATTGGAGTACTTTGGTGGAACTGTCAAATCTATTCTGCCTTGCCTAGTTGTATGCCGTCTGACTGTCGGATATTGAACTTTGAGAACTCAAGTCTCTTGCACTAAAATTAGAGGGTTGAACACAACGTAATCCGTCAACTTAACAAGTTGGATGTGGTGCCAGCTACAAGGTGTTCTACATGACTTGGTGGCTTTCCTGCTGCATACTTTGCACCATATGCAATGTGCTGAAATATTACTAGCCCGTTTACAAGGTTTTTTTTTTACAGAAAGGCCTTCATGGCTAGCTTTATTAACCTCAAATAATGCTTACATTGTCTACTAAAAATTTAGCAATAGTAACCGGAGGTGCATCCACTCATAAAGAAGGGGTGTTTGCACGCCCCCATTCAGCTAGCTCATGAGTAACTACATTTGATTCTCTGTTACAGTGCTTAATACTAAAACTGAAGCCGTCATCATAGAATGTCCCTCATTCAGATGTATAGCATCGACCACAACAGAATTATCCATCCTCACCAAGACATTATTGCACCCCATACTTTGAAGTAACTTTAAACCTTCAAGTAGTGCCGCCGCTTCCGCAGAGACGACATCTGCCACATGCTCAAGGCGAGAAGTAGAAGCAACAATTAAATTACCTCTATGGGCTCTAACTATCGCCCCACATGACCCTGTATGCAGATCCTCAATAAAAGACGCATCAACGTTTAGAATTTGTTGCGCTGCCAAGACAATGGGCCATGTGTTCCGTCTAGGTGCAGTAGTTTGTTTCACTGCCACTTGTGTGAAGTTAAGAGCCAATGCATGGATGACTAGCGCAGATCGCAACAACGTCTGCACTTCCTCCCTTCTGACCCGCTGTCTACGCTGCCACCATACGAACCAGCTCGATGTAGCTATCAACTCTGGAAGCTCTATCGAGTCATCATAATTGTGTTGCGTCGATTGATCACATAAGAGAAATTCCGGCACGCCGGAACCCGAGCGATTAACAAGCGACGCATCATGTACGACCCTCTCAATCCCAAGGGCAGCCCATACTGCCTTTGCTCTCACGCAGTTAAATAAAGCATGCTTGATATCTTCTGCTCCTGCTTTGTAAATTGGGCATTGAGAAATACTGCCAATGTGACGGTTTGCAAGAACACAAAAACAAGGAATATCATTATGTAGACATCTCCATAGAAAGGTCTTATTTTTTCCCAGCAATCTTAGACTCCAAATTTTCCTCCATACCGGGTGTGGCCGGGAACCACCATGGCGACTCAGACTAGTGCTATCATTGTATGTATCCTTCCGTTCTCTGTAGTAGGCTGACCGTACTGAGAAAATCCCGCTTTTTGTAAGGTGCCATGCAACATAATCCTCCATTACCTGATGGTGTAGTGGAACCTGCAGAATACGCTCTGCATCAATATGCCAAAAGTTGTCGCGGATAAGTTGTTCATCCCACTCCCCCGTAACTCGGTTTATAAGATCATTCACTTTTGACAATAGTTGATTACCCCTTATTGTCACCACTTTCCTTGATGCACTGCTTGGGATCCAACAATCACTCAAAATATCTATTTTTGCACCATCTCCTACTCTCCAAATGCATCCCTTCTTGAAGGTTTGGATCCCTGCCGTTATACTCCGCCATACATACGATGATCCTTTTTTTAATTCATAGTTAAGAATATCCCCACTGGGGTAATATCTAGCTCTCAACACTCTAGCACACAATAATTCATTGTTCTCAATCAACCTCCAACACTGTTTTGCCAGCATTGCCAAATTGAAACTGTGAACATCACGAAAACCCATACCTCCTTGCTCCTTCGGTACACACATTTTCCACCATGCAAACCAATGCATCCTACGTTGGTCATCCTCGTCACCCCACCAATACTGCGACATTGCATCAGTGATCCCCTTACAAATTTTCTTCGGGAATTTAAACACACTCATCGCGTACGTAGGGATGGCTTGGGCCACCGCTTTCAATAAGGCGTCCTTACCTCCAAAGGAGAGGGTTCTCTCTTTCCATCCATTTACCAATTTCTGGATCCTCTCTATTAAGTGTTTGAAACAATTAACCCGGTCAACACCAATCATAGAGGGGAGCCCCAAATATTTATCCGACAGTGATTCCTTCATAATATTTAGTATTTGACATATCTCAGCTTTAACCTCCACATCCGTATTGGGACTAAAAAAATAGAGCATTTGGCCTCGCTTACCAATTGTCCGGAAGCCGAACAATACTCATCCAATATCGTTCTCAAAGTCTGGGCATTTAACTCGTCTACTTTCATCAATATAAGTGAATCATCAACAAACAATAAATGAGAAATTCTGGGAGTCACGACAGACCTGAACACCATTCAAATTACCAGCCGCCTCCTCATAGGTAATGAGCGCAGATAGGCCTTCGACACAGAGCAAAAATAGATAGGGAGACAGGGGATCCCCCTGCCTAAGACCTCTTGTTGGGGAGAACGGTAAAGTTTCATTAGAATTAAGCCGTACTTTGTATTCAACAGAAGTGACGCACGCCATGACCAGCCAAGTCCATCTATGACCAAAACCAAGCTTCCCCAAGATTGCTTTCAAAAAGACCCATTCAACTCTGTCGTACGCCTTGTGCATATCCAGTTTTACCGCACATGTGCCCACTTTTCCTGTCTTTTTTTTTTCATTGTGTGTAAACACTCATAAGCAACAATAACATTATCAGTGATAATCCGACCGGGGACAAAGGCACTCCGCATCTCACTAATTATATCAGGCAATAACAGTTTCAGTCTTGCTGCCAACATTTTAGACATTACCTTATAGACAACATTGCAAAGACTTATTGGTCGAAACCGGGTTACCTTCTCTGGATTGTCAACTTTGGGTATAAGAATGATAGTGGTCTAGTGGTCTGATTCCATCCCTCCGGTATTACACCACTGTTTACTGCCTGAAGCACTTCCCTTATCAAGTCCTCGCCTAGGATAGGCCAGGACTTTTTATAGAAAATGGCATGTAGCCCATCCGGCCCCGGGGCCTTTAAGTCATCAATGCTAAAAAGAGCATTCTTCACTTCCTCCGCTATGTAAGGTGCTAAAAGAGTTTCATTCATGTAATCCTGTTACACAATGTTTCACTTTATTCAAGACTCTGTCGTCAGGTAAACCAACTTCTGAAGAAAAAAGATGCTGGAAGTAATCTGAGATTAAACTTCTCATAGACTCATTATCTTCTAGCCATGTACCGTTATCATTCATAAGCCATTGGATATGATTTCTTTTTTTCCGTGCAGTGGCGAAATTATTGAAAAAATTGGTATTGCGATCTCCAAATTTCAGCCAGTTTGCACGGCTTCGTTGAACCCAATAAAATTCCTCCTTTTCTAGGTTTTCCTCGATCTCAATTACAAGATTCTTTGCTGGCCCGCCGACTCGTCAGTGAGAGGGCCCAACCGCAAATTTTCCAGCTCCGCCTTCAAATCTTTAAGACGTTTGTGAGGCGCCTTAAGGATCTCTCTGTCCCATATATGCATTTCAGCATGCACTGCCGCGGTACGGTCCGCCAATGATAACGGTTACAAGTTACTACTCCCTCTGTTACAAATATAAGATGATCTAACTTTCCCTAAATCGGATGTATACAAACATGTTTTACTGTGTTTGTTTACTCATTTCAGTTTGTATGTAGTTCATACTAAATATCCAAAACTATCTTATATTTGTGAGCGGAGAGGGTACTATTTTACACGATTACAAGGATAAGAGCATCCATTCACACAAAAAAAGGAGGATAAGAGCATATGCATCCTTAGTGACAGCCTGCTTCGGAGCCGCTGCATCTGTGCCCTAAGATCATTCTTTGACACCCCCTTTGCGCCTTAGCATGGAGAGGATGAACTATGTTCACCAAACTCCCAGCTCCTGCTATCGGCATAAGCCCTTAGTCATTTAATAGTAAAGCAAATTCCCACCTCCTGCACGGTCCCTAGGTCATTTTTAATGGTGAAGCCCCATCCGCCAGCCCAAAAGCTCCATGTTTTTTTGATAGCGCTCCAGACCTGTTTTTTTTCCTCAAAAATCACTTGGAGGAGGAGTCCAGACCTGTTTTTTTTTGTTCTCTTTTAGATAGCGCTCCATGTATTCAGAAAATGCGTTTTTTTTGAGAATCTTCAGAAAATGCAGCTAAACTGAACACACAACCTCATCAGGTGATGTGATTTTATCTCCCAGTTTGGCCTTATTTCGTTCATGCCATCAAATCCTCTTTCAGCTGCATGATTTCTTACATCATGGAGGAAACATTTCGTATTTCGTAGTCATACCATTATCTTCCTGTTTGTAAAATCAGGCATTTAACTAGTTTCAGCCCACAATCTACCAGTAGCGTTGCCCTCCATATGGCTCTTTCAGATTTACATTTCAGAAAACGATCTATCAATTAGACCACTTAAAGTGACGAGGTTCTTACCCTCTCGGGAGGTGGCTCTTCTAGTGA